GAGAAAAGACGACAAGTAACCATCGACATTCGTAGCCGCTAGATATTGTCGATTAACAGTTTCCATAGTTGCCAATCACCATCCTCTATAGTCACTGACCAAAATTGAGCCCCGCCCCTAATCATCATCTGTCATTGTGAACCACCATTCATCGACGACCTTCGATTGTGGTCGTTGTAATCAGACTACGAATATTGTTGCGTTTTTGAATATTTGTATTTTTTTTAACTGTATAAACACAAGTGTAATTTTCAATGTAAAACTACAATCTCGTTCTTCTTGTCATGAAAAAAGAGTGCACCATTGTACTTATGAGCATGTAGTGGATTACTTCGGTTGGGCTAGGCATCATGGATTTTTCTTTTTCAAAATTTTTTAACGTAAAATCCTTGATGTTCCTTCTCACTTTTTTTCTTTTGTTTGTGTGTGTTTTGTATTTTTATGCAACATTAAGACGTTAAATTATCATATTACCATCATAATTTTTTCGACACACAACAAAGACATTATAATAAAATTATGTTTCTCATTGTTTTCTTTCATTTAATCATATGCAAACAAGTATGTGTAAGTGATTGGAAAAATGATCAAAGTTTAGTACTTATCTTGTAAGCGTCAACTAAAATAATTTTTTGTTGAATTGTCAATATTAAGCCATTAATCACTAAAGGAACCTATATGATAACTGAAAATTAGAGGTCTCAACAAAAAGAATTCAACATTTGCCTTGGAGGTTGGTGACTAAGGACCCGTTTGGGGCGGCCTATGTTGAAGATGATAAACTTTTCTTTTAACTCACGAGCACTATTGTTAATGATTGTTAATCATGCGCATTTTGTCAGGTCAATTACATAAATATAAAAGAAAAAAATTATTATTTTGATAACAAAACGAATAAATCTTGTGTAATAACTTTGTTCTTTATACTAGTTGATACTTATCATTTCATGTGAGAATGAGTGTAGGCAAATAACCATGATCATGTAAACTGTTTTTTTTTTCTTTTCAGAATTTTCTATTTGCATATTTTTTCTCATTTTTTTGAATAACATTGCTCTCATATACATAATGTTTTCCCATTAACTAGTATAAGAGTCTATATAGATTTAGAAGATGCGCGAGAATTGGGAGCAATGATGCAAGCACATGGGATTGTGATGCTTGATTAATTAAATTGAAAAACCTTTTGGAATTAAAAGACGTCGATAAAGAATTATCCACACTAGGGTTATGTCTACCTCTTTTTTTAATTGAAACCAACAGCCATTTACTAGAAGGACTGCAATTTCTTCGACAACCAATCATTTGAAGCTATACAATCATCATTGACAAAAGCGCTTCTTTCAATGAGAATCACAATAAAATAACATACAATAAGCCATCAATGATAAATTGAAAAGATACATCCAATGAGAAAGTATTTCTATCCCAATATGGATAAGGGCACTTGCACAAATTTCAACTAACTAACTTTAATATGATCATAAGTTAATTGACTTTAGTTGATAAGAACTTTGATGAAGAATCACATGTTTTAGTTGGGTTGTTATGACTCTCATTAAAGTTGGTCCGGAACAAGTGCAGTTGTCAACAATTCATATATGTTTGTTAAGACGAAGCTTAACGGGTTCCTGATGAGATCTTCATAAAAGGCATAGAAAGACAAAAAAATATGTGATATTCTTATTTTACTAATCTAAATTTTGATTGAATAAAAAGAAAGAAAATTTACATGCATACCACTTAAACCTTAAGTATTCACAAATCTAACATAGAAGTTTTCACAACAACATATATAATACATTTGTGGCATATGATTATGCATGAAAATGTGTATTATATTTTTAAAAAGTAAGTAATAGTGATATTCTTGATGTAATATTATATTTTTTAGTGTTATACATGCAAATATAAAAGTTTAGCAATTAGATGTAATAAATACATAAGAATTATGTGGTGTGCATGAAAATGCCCCCAAAAAGAAAATGAAGTAAGATGTAATAAATAATATGTTATTCAAATCTCAACACATAATCCAATCAAATTTATGCACTGATTTGTGCATGAGAATAGATTATACATCCAGGAATAATGAATAAAGTTCGAGTCCTATATAGAAATTGTGAATATTTTATGTAAAAATAATCTATGATGCACCATTTCTTGATATGAATAGTACTATAGAGTTATATATTATCTTTGATATATTTTGCATATTTTCATTAAACCATACATTACGAGTTTAGGTTTAATTATTCAACAATAAGTTACATGAATGTTTATGTTATTGATGATAAACTCTTAAATATTATGGAGGTTGAGGATGTGTGAAGTAACATATGCGACACATTTATGTGGAAGCTTCGGTGTGAACAATAAAGAGTACATCTATGGCTTAAAAAAGAGCTTAAGCGTGATTAGGCATATTGTTAAAGAAAATTGCATCTTAATCTTCTATACCATACTAGTAAGATTATTAAGAGTGTTATGATGATAACACATGAAAATACATGTAGTGTTGTGCATATGATGTTAAACATTATAATAGTGAGATAAGCATTAAATCTCCTATCAATTATTTTGTTGGTGCAATGCAAGACAAAGTTTGTCTAAAATGGAAGCTTCCAAAGGGTAAATATGCATTAGAATGTCATGTTATATAAAAGATTGTGGTTCAACGGTAAACCATAATAATGATGGAGATAAATAAAATCATAGTTAGTATTAACAAACCTACATGCTAAAAACCCTTGACCAACATCTATAGATGTTTGAGAGGGGATGCCATATACATATAAATCTTTTACGTGAGAAAAATTCATGACAAAATTTTTCTCAGTAGCTTTGTGAAAATCCTTTAAACTTTGTTACGTTCTTATTATTACGTTCTTATTATTACTTTTTTTCTTTTAGCATAATTTTTACATTCTTTTGTGTACATTAGAAATGTTGTTCCATAAATCCCGAGAAGATCCAAAAAATTGCATGAAGAGAATAGCAAAGAATCGAACAATTTAGCTTCACTCTAGTCGACTAAACTCAGGGCCGACCGAGTGTTAGTTCGAAAACCCTTGACCAACATCTATAGATGTTTGAGAGGGGATGCCATATACATATAAATCTTTTACGTGAGAAAAATTCATGACAAAATTTTTCTCAGTAGCTTTGTGAAAATTGTTTAAACTTTGTTACGTTCTTATTATTACTTTTTTTCTTTTAGCATAATTCTTACATTCTTTTGTGTACATTAGAAATGTTGTTCCATAAATTCCGAGAAGATCCAAAAAATTGCATGAAGAGAGTAGCAAAGAATCGAACAATTTAGCGTCACTCTAGTCGACTAAACTCAGAGCCGACCGAGTGTTAGTTCGACAGAACCAAGCAGCGCCATACACCTATACCAATAACGACTAAACTAACATAAACGATATTCACAATGACACCTAACAAGGACTTCTTCTGTATAAATTCGTCAACCAAATATATGTTGCTCAGCATTTTACAGTAATGTGCATTTTGCCTGATGGAATAATCCTCATATAGAACAATGAGTCTTCACAATGGATCTCTTCGAAAAAAGGTGACAAAAAATAATTTAGTTGGTTGAATGACTTTTTGGCTGACCGAACGAATGTCACATGATCAAGCCAAACAGTTACAAATATGCCTATGAAGGTTATAGACATGGAACGATAACAACAACAGGTTCCAAGGTCTAAATATTCTCAATTCTATTATAAATATGTAAATGTGTAATAACTTATAAATCATTATAAAGTTCCTATTAAAAGAGGAACAATCATGTAATTTATTAGACCCATTCTATAACTTATAAATAAATGGATTATTTTCTATAGAAGGGAGTGTTGGAAATATTTTGAGAAAATTAATTCTATTTGTGATTTTTTCTTCTTTCTTCTCTTTCCCATTGTTCCTCTTATCCGACCAATGCTCTATTCCTTGGGCGTGCCCGAAAGAAAATGTTTGTTGGATGAGAGGAACATTTTGATTAGGGAGTAAATGAGTCGAGTCGAGCTCAAATCACCCCAGCTCAAGCACGAGATTTATTAATTAATACATTTAATTTTAAGCAAAGCTTATGAGTTCAAAACTACAAATTAAGAGGTGTTTGCGATAAATTTTCATTTTTTTTGTTTTTTGTTTTTGAAAATAAAAAAATCAGAAAAAAGTGATTGCTTATCTGTTTTTTGTTTTATTTCCGTTTTCGAAGAATACTTATGTTTTTAAAATACTCAAAACAGAAAAAAATTATATTTTTGCGTGTTTGTAAAACATTGAAACCAACGAGTCCTGCCGCCTGCCTCCTTCCGCCTTCCTCCTGCCATCTACCTATTTGTGCTTGCCGTCGTCGACTACCACCCACCCAGCCCACCGCTTGCCAGTTGCCGATCCGTGCTCGTCGGCCGCCTCCCGCCGCCAGCTACCCTTCGCCCATCGCCGCCTGCAGCCCTCGATCGCCTGCCTTGCCCACATGCTCACATATAATGATTCGTGTTGAGTGGAGCTAGGAAGAAATCATATACGCAATGAGCGGCTGATCTTAATATTGGAGCGCATGCTAAACCAGTGATTTTATGAAAAGTATAATTTCTTCTTAAAAAAATATAAAAAATAACAAAAAAAATATATTATATATTTTTTATTTCTAGAAAAATATAAATCATATTAGTATCAAATACATTTTTTTTTTAATAAAAAAAATAGACTTAAAAAAGAGAAACATAAAGTGATCCATAAATTGTTATGAAGGGAAAAAGGGGCATTTACATACATACCTTCTAATTCCCATATAATTACATGTTGAATATCTATAATTTTTTTACGTTTACTCCACAAAAATCTTATAGATGAAAAATATCTCTATTTTAACTTAAAAAAAAGATATGTATTAGAATAATTAAATCTTTCATGCATAATTAAAGTGGCACAATTATAAAATAATTAAAGTTTAAGAGTTATGTAAATCTTTTTTATTCAAGTGCGGGCTTCTCCACGCCGGAAGAGTGCAACTGTCGCCGTCCCGGTTCGACAGCTCCGTCGTTACGGCATCTGCTGTAGTGGCGAAACTGGACAGGGAGGCCCGATCGGAGTGGGATCGGAGTGGGGAAAGGGTGTTCAAGATTGGAGGCGGTTCATTCGTTGGCAGGCTTCCGTTTCGTAATTGTTACAACATCGAGCCATTAGGAGGCCGAGGATTGAGAAGGTGGGACGGTTCTCTGTTAGGTTCCTCTCCAGAAAGAATTAGGTCATCAAGCGAACTGGTATTGCCACCTCACGATCAATGTTGGTTTATTTGATTATATTCTGGCGAACTTCTTATGCAAGAATGTGTCGTCTTTGGCGGGGAGATTCTGCTGCTTTTTTGATTATATTGCTGCTAGTTTATTATGCTGATGAAGGTGGCTATGTTTTGCCCATTGCATGATTATCTCGGTATTTTGTTTCAGACAAAATGGTTGCATTAAAACGACAACGTTTATCAGAAGCGAAATAAAATACGAGCAATTGCCATTAACCAAGCACCTAATTCTATAGCTGTTATCAGGTCGATTAGAGAAGCCCACGAAATGAAACAGATTAATGCATCTAAACTTTGAAAGCGGAAAAAAAACAAAATTTTTGGAACGGCGAATGGGGCTCTTATGAGGATTTACACGATTTTTTCCTGTGTTTTACATTCTTTCTGCTTGTGCTAATGGTCTGCCATTGCTATTTAACATATATATTCGTTCTTAACTCCTTGTATTAAAAATAGAAAATTTTTTTCGTGGCATTTACATACATAACATCCAATTGCTATGTTTCTTACCTATCTAGCACCTAAACTTCAATTTTTTCATTTATACAACCAAATATTTCATATAAATTTAAAAATAACACTATTTTAACTTTTTAAAACTGAAGTACACTTTTTGATGCATAAGGTGGCATATATATAAAAATTGAAGTTTAGTTGTTAGATATGTAACTTCATAAGACTCAAGTGGTATGCATATAAATCTACCATTTTTTTTGGCATTGATTTCAAGAAACCTGCATGGCAGACTTTGTAAGTTCATTAATACAAGTATTTCTTCCAAGTTGCTCTACTCAGTGCTATATATTCATTTGGAAAGCTAATGTTTCCATATAATAATAAATGTTTGATCACTGATTCACAACAAACTGCGAGCAATAGAGTATTTTAATGTGAAAATTTCAACCAGGGGGAAAAATTCTGTGGTTTTCCACTATCATGATAATTATGAATCTTGTCAATAATGATGTTAACTTAGAGCTATCAGCATTCCTTGGGTAATTGATTGTGCAAAATTCCATTGAAACACTTTATCAAATTGCTGTAGAATAAATGATCTGAAATAGCATAGAAAGAGCTGAAATTGTGCAAAATCCCCCCGGTAAATGATTGTGGTGGTTCATTCATCTGACACATTAATTTGCATTGGGAAAAGAATGGTCCACTAACACATTAACCATAAATGATATACAAACACGAGGGTCATGACACTTACTTTTCTTGAACCTAAACAAAATAATGTTACATTACTTTTGTTGTCCTAGTTGTTTAATTCAAAGGAATATACGAGAAGTTTTTCTCATGATTTGAAATTAAATTGATGATATATCCAATATTTTTTGCTTGTTGAAGTTTTAATATTTCAATTTTAATTCGAATATTGCCGATGGAGATGATTCTCATATCACATTGGTGAGATAAAAAAGAATGTTGCTAGGAATCCTTAGTTGCAATCTGATTGTCAATCGAACATTATATGGTGGGATATCAAGATTTTGGTTGCTGAACCATTGGGTCGAAATCCAAATCAGAGCCGAATAAGGATGATCGACTAGCAAATAAACTAAATGATTTATAAACATAAAGGCCATGCAAATTACTTTTCTTGAACCTAAACAAAATAATGTCGCATCACTTAGAAGCCCCACTTTGAATCAGTATCATAAAAGGGATTGTTATCATGGCCGTTCTATTCATAGAAATCTACAAGGAGCTTTTCTCATGATTTCAAATTAAATCAAGGAATTATCCAATATATCTTACTTGTTGAAGTTTAGTATATCAATTTTACTTGAATATTGTCGATGGAGATGATTCTCTTGACGAGATAAACAATAATGTTGCTGGGAATCCTTAGGTGCAATATGATTGTCAATCGGACATTATATGGCGGGTGATTGAGATTTTGGATGTTGAATCATTGTGTCGAAATGCAAATCACAACAGGATAACAATGATCCACTAGTAAAAAAATCATAAATGATTTACAAACATGAGGGCCATGACAATTACTTTTCTTGAACCGATATAAAATAATGTCAAATCACTTAGAAACCCCAAGCTTGAATCATATCATGAAGGGGATTGTTATCCTGGTCATTTAATTCAAAGAATTCTACAAGAAGCTTTTCTCATGATTTGAAATTAAATCGAGGAAATATCCAATAGTTATTATTTTTTGAAGTTTTGATATTTCAATTTTACTCTAAATATTATCGATGGAATGATTCTTGTATCACATTGGTGAGATAAAAAAAAATATGTTGCTAGGAATCCTTATGTGCAATTTGATTGTCAATCGAACATTATATGGTGGGAGATCAAGATTTTGGATGTTGAACCATTGGGGTTCAAATCCAAATCACAACAAGGATGAGCTTTTAATTTTAAAACTTTTAGGGATACACTTGTATTTGAATTTAAAATCAGATCAGGATTGATTAAATTGGAATTCATCTAGTTCGCTATGTTTACCTATGATCCTCCCTTTTTGTGAATTTTATTTAGGGCTGAATGAGATTTTATCCTTCATGTATTTGTTTATTTATAGGCTTGTATTTCCTTAAAAATCAATCTGAAAGTGCTTCAGGAATTTTTTTGCCTTCTCTTATTCTTACTGCGGGAAGCTCAATTTCACATTCTCCTTTTGGAACTTCAGCAAAACAACAATTATAATATCTAATACTGTAGCAGCGGGAAGCTCTATGCTCTTACAGTTATGGTTGCTTTATTTTGCATTGCTACTGCTATTTATACCAATCAAAAGATATAGGAACAGAAGCTCCAACATGGATTACACCCTGAGGTAAGCTTTCTATGAAATGCAATATTTGGCTGTAATTTGAGAGGAGTTATCTTCAATAAGATTAACCAGTAAGGTGGCTTTATTTTATTAATAGATAACTATGGTTTCTCCAAAGGGACTTCTTAAAACGTTTTGGAATCCGTTCTTCACTCTTGTTGTGGAATTATTCTGTAATGTTGAGAGGTTGATTATGAATCATGTTGGTATTAGAATATCATTCATCGGTGTATGATACAAACAAAGACGGCATAAATATAATAGAGCTATTTCTTTCTTTAGAGACTTATTATAAGTGAAGAAAGAGTAATGAAGAAAAAGTGTAAGAATGCTAATCAATTGTTGATTGCAAGTTTACATAAAATCTAGTTAAACAAGTAGCTAGACTAAGCAGATGGTCGCTATGATTGATTGAATGGGGATGCAAACAATCATCATTGCTACTAGTAAGGCAAGTTGTATTCTTCTTTCCACACTAGATTCAAACATTGTTGGAGATGATAAATATGAGGTTGTTGTCAGAATTTTAGGAGTTGATTAAGATAGAATCGATTTATTTATTTGTGGTAATAAATAATTTATATTTTATGATACTAGAATTGGTAATAGTTTGTTCTTTTATTTTTTGCTTTTAGAAAGAGGGATCATGGTTTGATTCTATGTTAATTGTTTTGCACTGATGCTTCTCTCTAATATTCTTGTGTTAGTTTATAACATAAATCAGTCAATGAATAATTAATCTCGATGCCCTAAAACCATTTATTATCAGAGCTGCCATGCTCATCCCTTCATTCTTTTCACTTGTGGGATCCTCAGTTTCTCTAAGCCGTTGAGCCCTTCGCCCTAGTAGAGTTGTTATGGCTGCATTCCTCCCTGTCATCTTGCATCCACGCAACTCTTGCCTTGTCTGAACCATCTACGAGTTGGATATCTTGACCACAATTCATTTCTTGAGCTTAAAGAATCTATTGCAGTCACTTCTACTGATCACTTTGTTTTCTCCTAAAATGTTGCAGCAAGCTCGATTTCAATTGCTCTCGTTCTAACGTTGAAGTTTTGGTGGAAGTTTCTCGCAATTGCCTTTCAAAATCGAAAATCCAAAGTATCTAACTCTTCGCTGGGTCCATTGGAAGTAGGGAACCTGGGAAGTCATTTTTGTTTCAGTTTTGGCCATTTTAAAGGGTTTATGGGCTCACATAATTCGCCATAATATCCCTCGTTACTACAATTTGAAATACACCAGTGGGGTAGATTAACCATAGTATCACATATTTCATCATGCAAACCTTTTCCTTACACATCACAACCATTAAGCTCAACGGACAAAACTGCCATGAATGGTCTTAGCTGTAAAGGTAGCGATCTATGAAAGGGGAAGAATTGGACATTTGATGAGTCATTTGAAAAATGGTAGTCTGAGAACTCCTTTATCATCACATGGTTTGTCTACTCAATCAAACCAATCATTAGAAAGCCACAATTATTTTACCCCATTGCCTGATATGTCTGTGATGCGATACTTGACCTTTACTTAAACCTTGAAGAATCTCTCAAATATTCCAGTTAAAAAGCCCAACTTTGATAATCCAAACAAGATGATTGTGATGTCACCATCTTTTATGTTGAATTAATGATAATATGAGAAGCGCTTGATCAGCACTGTGATAATGTTTGGGAAAACTTTAATGACAATGCACGACACAAGAAAAGTGAAGAAAGTGATAGGTTCTATGTTTCTATTTGGCCTCAGTCAAAATTTGGATGAATTCCGAGGTTGAATTCTTGGAAGAAAACCCTTTCCTTCCATTCAGGATGCTTTACTAAAGTAAGATGTGAAAGAATGTGGAGGAATGTTATGCTATATAGCAAGGGAAGCGTCTCCATTTCTAAAACTATAATATTGTCCACTGTATCCAAGGGTATTGACTTCTAGAGCAACAAGTGAAAAAATAATGGTGAGAACACTGCAAAAAGCCTAAACAAACAAAAAATTTTTGTTGTAAACTACCTGTAGCATCAAATAGAGATTCTTAAGTGACTTTTATTAACATGGAGACAACCCTTTTCACCAAGGAACAATTAGAATACCTCTATATTTTTTTTTGACCTCCTAAACTACTTATAATTTTCATTCTTCATTTTGGCTCAAAAGGATAATTCTC